ATGCAGAAAGGGTGAAATAGGGAAATGAAAACTATTGAGAACAAACAGAAAACAAACAATAAAATGGAAGAACAAAATCCAAACATATCAATCATCACAGCAAATGTAAATGGTCTAAACACACAACTTAAATGATAGTGATTATATGAATGGATTTTCACTAGACAATTAGTGACCTGGAAAAGGGTCATGGCTTACTTTACTATTTTTAATTGTAGTAAAAAATACACATAACATAAAATTCACCATCACAACCTTTTTTTAAGTGTATAGTTGAATAGTAAGTACATTCACATTGCTGTGCAACCAATCTCCAGAATTCTTTTCATCTCATAAATCTTAGACTCTATACCCATTAAACAACAGCTTTCCATCCCCTCCACTCCCCATCCTCTGGTAAACACCCTTTTACTTTTTGTCTTTATGAATTTTATTACTCTAGGTGCCTCATCTAAGTAAATCATACAGTATTTGCTTTGGGGGGACTAGCTTATTTCACTTATCATGATATTTTCAAGGTTCAACCATGATGTAGCATGTGTGAAAACTTCCTCCCTTTTCAAGGCTAAATAATATTCCATTGTATGTATATACTACATCTATTCATCCATCAATGACACTTGGGTTGCCGCCATCTTTTGACCACTGTGAATAATGCTGCTATTAACATGGGTGTACACACCATTAAATTGGTGCTAATTGATCAACACATATGTGCATATATGGAAGTAACATTCATCAGGTGTCAGGCAGGTGGAAGGTAAATTCACACCTAACCAGCACAGTGCACACTGTCTGGGGGATGGGCACACTTGTAGCTTTCACTGGGGCAGTGCAAAAGCAATTTATGTAACCAAAGGGTTTGTACCTCCATAATATTCTGAAATAAAAAAAGAAAACCATGAGTATACCAAATCTGGAACACCATGGGTATACCAGGTCTGGAAGACCCTGATTCTGTTCTTGTGTGAATATAATCATAGAGTTGTTGGATCATATGGTAATTCCATTTTTAATTTTGTCAGGAATCACCATACTATTTTCCATAGAGGCTGTACCACTTTACATGCCCATCAACAGTACACAGAGCTCCAATTTTTCCATGTTCTCCCCCACACTTGTTTTCTGGGGGATTTTTTGATAGTAGCCATTCTGATGGGTGTGCAGTAGTATCTCACTGTGGTTTTGATTTGCATTTCCCTAATGATTAGTGATTTGAGCATTTTTAAAAGACCAAACTATATGCAATATCAATAGATTTAAAATAAAAAGATGGAAAAGGCATACCATACAAGCAACAATCAAAAGCAAGTTGGAGTGGCTATATTAATATCAGACAAAATTGACTTCAGATCAAAGAAAACTACTAGGAAAAAAGACTAATAATTTATGATATAAAATAACAATATTAATATTTTGGTTTTAAATGATACAACTAAAAAACAAACAATGTGAATAAACCAGGAGAGGTGGAGTTTTAATGTTCTAATTCTTTGCAAGGAGGACAAAGACACTAATCTGCTTTAAATTTTGACACATGACAATGCATGATAAATTTTCTAGGTTAAGTATTAAGTGAATAGAAATAGAGTGCATACTTCCAAATCACTTATGGGGAAAAAAATTCAAGGGACAAATAATCAATCAAAAGGAAGACAAGGAAAGAGAGAAAAATATACAAAAAGAAAAAAATGGAATGAATAGAAAGAACAAAGCAAATAAATACTTAGCAGAGATAAATTCAAGGATACAAGTTATAACTATAAATATAAATATATTAACTTAGACAACTAAAATATTAAGATTGTCAAATATGACAATCTTTTAAAACCTGGATAAATACTTTTTATCATTGTTTAAAAATCATATATTTTTTAATTTCAGAGTATTATAGGGGTACAAATGCCTTGGTTACATATATTGCCTTTGCACCACCTGACTCAAAGCTACAAGTGTGCCCATCCCCCAGACAGTGCACACCACACCATTAGGTATGAGTTTACCTACCCCCTTCTCCCCTCTCTCACCTGCCCAACACCTTATGAATGTTGCTTCCATATGTGTGCATAAGTTTTGATCAATTAGTACCAATTTAATGGTGAGTATATGTGGTGTTTGTTTTTCCATTCTTGTGATACTTCAATTAGGAGAATGGGCTCAAGCTCCATCCAGGATAATACAAGAGATATTAGTTCACATTTTTTATGGCTGAGTACTACTCTATGGCATACATATACCACATTTTATTAATTCCCTCATGGATTTATGGGCACTTGAGTTGTTTCCACATCTTTCCAATTGTGAATTGTGCTGCTATAAACATTTGAGTACAGATGTCTTTTTTATAGAATGTCTTTTTTTCCTTTCAGTAGATACCCAGTAATGGAATTGCTGACTTCTACTTTTAGTTCTTTGAGATATCACCATATTATTACTTTCCATAGAGGTTGTACTAGTTTGAAGTCCCACCAGCAGTGTATGAGTGTTCCTATCTCTCCGCATCCATGCCAAAATTTGTTGTTTGGGGACTTTGAGACTTTTTGATAAAAGCCATTCTCACTGGATTTAAATGCTATTTAATTGTGGCTTTGATTTGCATTTCCCTGATAATTAGAGATATTGAGCATTTTTTCATATGTTTGTTGGCCATTAGTCTATCTTCTTTTGAAAAGTTTCCATTCATGTCTTTTGCCTACTTTCTAGTGGGGCTGTTTGATTTTTTCTTGTTGATTTTCCTGAGTTTTACATAGATTCTAATTACCAGCCCTTTACCAGATATACAGCATGCAAACATTTTCTCCCATTTTACAGGTTGTCTATTTACTCTATTTACTCCTTGACTGTGCAGAAGCTTCTTAATTTGTTCAGGTCCCATTTATTGATTTTTGTTGTTGCTGTGATTGCTTTTGGGGTCTTTTTCATGCATTCTTTGTCTAGGCCAGTATCTATAAGAGTTTTTCCAACATTTTCTAAAAAAATTCCAACTTATTAAAGCAGAGACTAAAATGGTTGTGACCAGAGGCTGGGGCAGGGATGAGAGGTAGGGGAGGTATCGGTCAAAAGATACAAAACTTCAATTAGGTAGGAGGAATAAGTTCAAGAGACCTATTGTACAGTATGATGAGTACACTCAATAATAACCCATTGTATCCTCAAAAATTGCTGAGAGTAGATTTTAAGTGTTCTCACCACAAAAAAAATGATAAGTATATGAGGAAATACACAAGGTACAAAAAAAATCAATAAAGCAGTCTCAATGAATATAAAAAATTGTTGTCATATAAACATTATTCTCTTCCCACAATATATAAATTATTTAAAAATCATTAACAAATACATAACTAAAATATCACCACATGCTCAGATAAGAAACACATCTCTCGTCCAATGTTTCTCAGATATTAAAGTACATACACATCATCTAGGGATCTTGCTAACGTGCAAATTTTGATCATTAGCTCCGGGATGGGTTGAGACCCTGCATTTCCGACAAGCTCTTAGGAGGTGGTGATGTGCTGGTACACCCACCACCCTGAGAATAGCAAGGCTCAAACTAATCCATAGGTCAAAGAAGATGATACATTGGAAATTGAAAAGTGTTTAAATATTTTTAAGTGAACGACTATGATAATGAAACATTACATATCAAAAGTTATGAAATGCAGCTAAAGCATATATAAAGGGAAAATAAGAGTCTTGTCTACTTGGTTATAATGAAGAAAAGCTGAAAATTCATGAGATAACAATATAAAATAAGTTAGAAAAAATACAGAATAAACTGAAAGGAAGTTCAATGAAAAGAAGATAAAGCTGAGAGTAGAATATAACTAAATATATAAATCAAACATACAATAGACAGGATCAACACAACCAAGAGTTAATTTTAAAAGGAACAATTAAATTAATAAATCCCTTAAAATAATGAGTAAGAAAAATATAAAAACACCTTATGCAAAAGAGGAATAAAACATGTGGCCATCATTACCACTCTATAGAAAGTAAAGAAATCAAAGAAAATATTGTAAACAACTTTATGCCAAAAATTAAATTTAGAAGAAATCAACAAGTGCTTAATATAATCCAAGAAGAATTTGAAAATCTGACAGTTCTAAATTGTTAGAAAAATTAAATCTTTAAATTCAGTTTAGTTTTCCTGCTACATTCCAATGTCTGATCACCAGCTCTGTGGGTTTCAAGAGACGGTTGTAGTGGCAGCAGTAAAATATCTTTTTTTTTTTTTTTTTTTGAGACAGAGTCTCACTTTGCTGCCTGGGCTAGAGTGCTGTGGCATCAGCCTAGCTCACTAGCTTGAGCCCTCAAACTCCTGGGCTCAAGCAATCCTTCTGCCTCAACCTCTCGAGTAGCTGGGAATACAGGCATGCGCCACCATGCCCGGCTAATTTTTTATATATATTTTTAGTTGGCCAATTAATTTCTTTCTATTTTTAGTAGAGATGGGGTCTCGCTCTTGCTCAGGCTGATTTCGAATCCTGAGCTTGAGCAATCCCTCCTGCCTTGGCCTCCCAGAATGCTAGGATTACAGGCGTGAGCCACCACGCCCAGCCAAATATCCTTATTCTTATATTTAATATTATAGCTAGCATGGTGTGTTCTTGAAGTCAACAGGTCCAATCATGTGCATTGATCCCCTACCTTCCTCATTGTGGAAGAAGCAGCAGATTCTATGCTGGGCCAGTTTGCTGGAATTGTTGTGGAAGTCATTCTTGAAGTCCAATCCTAGAGTCATTTTCTGGGGGTCTTGGAAGCACCTAATTTGGGGTATTAAAAGTATTTCTGTTTAAAATACCTAATGTTTTCCATTTCCTGCAACTAAATCTTAACTGATAAACATAGGTGTGGCACCTTACACATGTGCATAATTTGTCTTCTTATAGAATTATTCTATACTATTGATGAATTCATCTGATATACACATGCAATATACAGCAATTAATTTTTTATAACTTTCTAATTTTTTATTAGCTCAACCTTCTGTTCTATAATAATTATGCTTCTCTTCTTACTGACACTCTGAATACTTTTATTGCTTCTGGACTAACAAGACATGATGGGGTGAATCATGTTATTTGAATGTGTTTTACGACACCAGAGACCAGTGAAAATGTGATATTCAGGACTAACTGATCCCACAGGGCTGTTAATTCCATTTTTCCGTGTCAAGGTAAGTAAATATGCCTTAGCTTGATTATTTTTGTTCACAGAACTAAAATGTACATTTTATAAGTTGAGAGTTCATAAGTGGAACTGCTTTTTTTAAATAACAGCATAGTTTAAACAAAACAGGGAATTGTTAGAAAGATAACTATGGTAGCTAATGAAACCCTAAGGAGACTTGAACTTTAGAAAAGTGAGGAACCAAGGAAGCTCTTAGAACTTGAACCATTAATTATATTCAGAGCAAATGATCTTCAATATTTGAGTTTCTTAGAAGTTACAAATTAGCAGGAAAGCATCTGATTGGTAGGCTTGGCTCTACTGTTACCCCTGAATCAATCAGCTATAACCAAGAAATCAGGGCAGCACACTATAAAATTGCTGCTTCTAAAAGATGTGAGAATCATTGTAAACTCAAAAGTTAAAGATATGCCAAGAGCTGCCTCCCACAAACTTGTTCAACAAACATGAACCGAGCTCATGTGTGGATCCAGTACCCTTGCTGGCCACACGAGATACCAGCAGGAACAAGACTGAGTCTCTGTCCCTCTAGTTCTTCTGATTCTCACACAGTAAGTGCCAAACTCAGCATAACAGGGCTGACAAATATGTAACCAAACATATAACTCTTGCCCTGCTCCAATATTAAGAAGGAGAGATGCAAAGGGCTTGCTCTTTCCTTCTTATCTTATGTGTCTTATATTCTCCCCCAGGATCAAGAGCAGGGAATTTGTTGCATAGAGGTATTCAAAAAGGGTGCTATCAAACAGAATCAGAGAAGACACAACTTCTGGAAGCAGCATCTGCTTTGGTTGCACTTCACTGCCCATGGCCTAAGGCCATGAGGAGGCCAATAAAGGCCGACGCTCAAGAACACCAACCCAGACCCAAGGCTACCTCCCTGGCACCCAGCCATGAAGCTCCTTTTTCCTGTCTTTGCCAGCCTCATGCTACAATACCAGGTGAACACAGGTAATGCAGATTCCTGGGTTTAAGAAGGGTCAGTGTGAGGAACCAGGGATTTAGCTGCCTGTGACAATGAGAACCCAAAGATGTGCTGAAAGACGAGATGCTCAAAGAGATGGCTAAAGAACTCACCCATTGCATCAGTTACACATCATCCTCGATGCTTCTCCGTATGCCCCAACCTCCAGAGCTGTGTCTGAGGGAGACACCCAGAGAACTACAGGGAAAGGAGGGTATTTTGTGTGTGTGTACTCAGAAACTATCCAACAGGCCAGGCACAGTGGCTCACATCTGTAATCCCAGTGCTTTGGGAGGCTGAGGCAGGAGGATCACTTGAGGCCAGAAGTTTAAGACCAATCTGGGAAATACAGCGAGATCCCATCTCTTAAAAAAAACAAAAAAACTAACCAGACATGGTGGTGCACACCTGTAGTCCCAGCTCCTCAGGAGGCTTAGGCAGGAGAATCACTTGAGCCCAGGAATTCAAAGCTGCAGTGAGCTATGACTGCACTCCAGCCTGGGTGAGAGAACAAGACTCTGTCCCCTAAAAAAAAAAGAAAGAAACAAAGAAGGAAAGAGAAACTCTCCAACATATAATGCTGCCTTCCTGCCGTGTACATATATATATTATCCTGAGGCTCTGCCAAGGTCTACTTAATTTATCTCTGTTTCTAATTGCAACCATTTCTTGAAGCAAAGGTCCCTATCAGTTTGTACTTTGGTGTAGGAAGGAGGAAGTCCTCACCCTCATGCTCAAAAAAAAACTTCCTCTGAGGACCCAGTACACAGGCTATGTTCTTCATCTATGTTCTTCATCTCAACTTTTTCAGGTTTTTCAGAGTCTTATCCCTTCTCTCAGCTTTTGCCTTCCTAGAGACCCCAAATTACCATAAGGATGTCTAGAAATGCATTATGGCTAAAAGCTGAACAAGAGGATTGGCCATTTAAAAAAAAATAAGGAAGAATCATTGAGACCTATTTCAGAATACAAGAATCACTCAGATATTTGGAATAATTAGCAATGGGTCAGGGAAGGGAAAGTGAAAGAGTCAAAGACGTTTCTAATGTTTTTATCCTGGGACCCTAGCAGAAGGGTGGTACCATAAGCAAGTATGGCTGTGTCCTCTTGGGTGAAGTCATTGAGCCACTTTGAGTTCCCACTTCCACACAAGTATAATGGGGTTAATCAATGCAACTGCTTCCAATACAAGAATTTTTCTGTTCTGTATTTGGTGAGAAAATAACATGAAAATGTAGTGCTTTGAAAATTATTTGATGCCACATAAATCTCTTATAATTGATGGACATTAACTGTTAAGATGGGTGAGGGGGCATGGTGGCTCACACCTGTAATCCTAGCACTCTGGGAGGCCAAGGCAGGAGGATCACTTAAGGCCAGGTGTTAGAGACTAGCCTGAGCAAGAGCGAGACCCCATCTCTACAAAGAATTAAAAAAAAAAAAAATATCCACCACTACATGGTGGCACACGCCTATAGTCCAAAGCTACTCAGGAAGCTGAGGCAGGAGGATCGCTTGAGCCCAGGAGTTTGAGGTTGCAATGAGCTATGATGATGCCACTGCACTCTAGCCCAGGTGACAGAGCAAGACCCTGTCTCCAAAAAAAAAAAAAAAAAAAAAGATGGGTGAAGAAAAAAGATCTTTCTTGATTGAGGGGAAAAAAGGTGAGACATTGGATTGGAAAAATCATCCAACAGATGAAGATGAGGTATTAAGCTGCACAGGGAATTTAGAACAATCGATAACCATATGGGAGTTAACTTGATAGAAATGAAGTTAAGGCTACGATAATGACTAAGACCTCTGAGGGACAAAGTGTCCAGAGAAGCTAAAAGTGATAGAACACCATGCCCCAGGAATCACAGGTCTAGCAATTGTCAAAAGGAAAGAAGTCAAGGATTAGTGGGTTTGGTGAGAAGACGGCACTCCCAAAAGTCCTATTGATTCTCTTTTGAAATTCTTTCTTGATTAGTTTTATGAATGGTTTTGCTTTCATTGGTATTTCCTAGTATCAAAGAGATAGGATGGTGATGCCCCACAAGTGTTTAAGATGCTAAGTTGGAGGTCTGAAATCCTATCCTAAAAGGAAAAATTGGGTTACCTATTCTTTCCTCTCTGTGTCCTTGGCTTATTAAAGTTACTCAAGGAAAGCAGACTACACATGAGATTTATTTTGGATTTCAGAGGTGTTCAGAGACTCGCTTGGCCTGCCCAAGTACCTCCATCAGCATCTAAACCCTGGACTTAAAATTTAATTTTAACAAACTTACTCTTACCCTATTCATCTCCCTCCAGCACTTTTAATGCCATTTCTAAGTTAAGTTATAACCTTGGGCCAATGGTTTTCTCCTCTTTTTTTTGTGCAGAATATTTTGGCTTGAAAAGGTGTTTAAAGGGTTTGGGGAGATGCAAGGACCAGTGCAATGTGGATGAAAAACAGGTGCAGGAATGCAAGAAGAAAAAATGTTGTATTGGACTCAGAGTGCTTGAGTTGATACAAAACTACATGCAACATGAAATTCCCCACATACTTAGCGAAGACACCCCAAAAATGCTAAACACTACAAAGGATTTAAGTGCCATGATACAAACAAAACATATTTTACCTGGGGCTCTCCCCCAGATCAAAAACTCCAGCTCTTTTGCCAATATCAACTCCATCATCATCCCAATTGTCGTCTCTGAGAACTCTGCCACCACCAGCACCAGGACACCAGGACATAACACAGACACTGCTACTTCTACCAAGAACGACACCAAGAAAAGCAAGGATTCTGCTGTTTTCCCACCAGCAGCACCACCTCCCCCATAAACACTGCCAACACCGCCGCTGGAGCTGGAGGAAGAGATGAGCAGTGACCTGGGTCTTTCCCTTAAGACAGCGAGTTCCGCCCTGCTTCCACTATCTATAAAATGAGACATAGAACTGCCTCCTCTGTCATCTGCCATTCAATAAATACTGTTTAAGCACCTACAGTTTATGTAATGCTATCATTCTCACAGGAGCCTCACAGAGGAGGTGGAAAAGGGAGTGATGGAGGTTTTTGGGTTTTTTTCAGCATATTATGTGGGTACAGATTTTAAGGTTTCAATAAATGCCCTCTCCCCCCTCCCCCCACAAATCTGAGTCTCCAGCATGACCATCCCCCAGATGGTGCACATCTCACTCATTATATATGTATATACCCACCCCCACCCCCCTCCCACCTGCCCAATACCCTATTACTATAGTACCTATGTGTCCACTTAGGTGCTGCTCAGTTAATACCAGTTTGCTGGTGAATATATGTGGTGCTTGTTTTTCCATTTTTGGGATAATTCACTTAGTAGTATGGGTTCCAGCTCTATCCAGGAAAATATAAGATGTGCTATATCACCGTTGTTTCTTCGTGCTGAATAGTACTCCATGGCATACATATACCACATTTTATTAATCCATTCTTGGATTGATGGGCACTTGGGCTGTTTCCACAGCCTTGTAATTATGAATTGTGTTGCTATAAACATTCGAGTGCAGGTGTCTTTTTTGTAGAGTGTCATTGAATCTTTTGGGTAGATGCCCAGCAATGGGATTGCCGGATCACATGGTAGATTCACTTGTATCGCTTTAAGGTATCTCCATATTGCTTTCCACAGAGGTTGAACTAGTTTGCAGTCCCACCAGCAGTGTAGGAGTGTTCCTCTCTCTCTGCATCCACGCCAGCATCTATTGTTTGGAGACTTTTTGATAAAGGCCATTCTCACTGGAGTTAAGTGATATCTCATTGTGGTTTTGATTTGCATTTCCCTGATAATTAGAGATGTTGAGCATTTTTTCATATGTTTGTTGGCCATTCTTCTGTCCTCTTTAGGAAAGTTTCTGTTCAAGTCCTTTGCCCACTTTTTAATAGGGTTATTTGATTTTTTCTTGCTGATTTTCATGAGTTCTAAGTATATTCTAGTTATCAGCCCCTTATCAGATGGGTAGAATGCAAAAATTTTCTCCCATTCTGTAGGTTGTCTGTTTATTTTCATGACTGTTTCTTTGGCTGTGCAGAAGCTTTTTAGTTTGATTATGTCCCATTTATTTATTTTTGTTGCTGCTGTGATTGCCTTTGGGGACTTCTTCATAAACTCTTTGCCTAGGCCGACGACTAGGAGAGTGTTTCCAACATTTTCCTCTAGAATTCTAATAGTTTCATACCTTAGGTTTAGTCTGTTATCCAGCGTGAGTTGATTTTTGTGAGAGGTGAAAGGTGTGGGTCCTGCTTTAGCCTTCTACAAGTGGCTATCCAGTTTTCTCAGCACCATTTATTGAAAAGGGATTCTTTTCCCCAGCATATGTTTTTGTCTGCTTTGTCAAAGATTAGATGGCTATATGAGGATGGTTTTATATCAGGATTCTCACATCTGTTCCACTGGTCAATATTCCTATTTTTGTGCCAATACCAGATTGATTTAATTACTACAGCTTTGTAGTATAGTTTGATATCTGACATGTTAATGCCTCCCATTTTGTTTTTGTTGCCTAGAATTGCTCTTCTATTATATCTTCAAATAGCTTGTCCAACGTTTGAGTGTTTTCTTCTTCCCCTTCTGGTAACCCTATGACCCTCACATTAGGTTTCTTCACATAATCCCACATCTCTTGTAGGCTTTGCTCTTTTCTCTTGTTCTGTCTGCTCTATCTCTGTGACTGATTTATTTAATTGGAGGGTGTTATCTTCAATCTCTGAGATTTTTCTTCTGTTTGATCTATCTTGTTCTTGAGACTTTATTTGTAGTTCCCTGAATTGATTCTTCATTTCCAGGAGTTCAGTTAAACTTTTCTTCATTGTGTTGATTTCTTTAGTGAACTTTTGTTCCAGGTCCTGGAGGCTTTTTGTGGTTCTTTGTGTTGGTTATTGAGTTGTTCTTGCAGGTCGTTGAATTTTCTTATGATCCACATTCGAAATTCCTCTTCTGTCATTTTGGTTGCCTTATTTTGGTTGATGTCTGTTTCTAGGGGGCTGGTGCTCCTCTTTGGGCGTGTGTCTTCCGTTTGGTTCTTCATATTTCCAGAGTTCCTGCGCTGATTTCTTCCCATGTCAATCAGTTGTTGTTTCTTTCCTTTAGGTTTTCATTTGGGGATTCACATGCCTTGTTTAGTTTCTGAGCCAGTACTTGGTGTTTGTGGGTGAGATTTGACCACTCCCTGTATAATGAATGAGTCAGTAGGTGCCATGAAAAGGGTGTGCAGGATGGCCTCCCTGTCAGTAGGTGGCGCTTGCTTGGAGGAACAGGCTACGCTGTTGTTTTTGTGTCCTGTTATCAGCTCTTGCTCCTGTAGAGAGGCACTCTAGTGCCTCAGGTGGCCGGTGGGGCCCTGGGACTTCCAGGTGTGTCCTTTTCTCCCCCTCAGTGAGGGCTGGTCTAGGAGAGAGTCTGGGTGGAGCTGGGTTGGGTAAGCCTGCCCTCAGGCACCACCAATGTCGTTAGCAGGGGTCAAAGTTCTGTTCTCTGCTTCCAGGAAAAGCTGTCAGGGAGGGGTGCTCACTGGCGGCAGCCGTCTCTGGGCTGGTGTCCGTATGTCTCTCCACCTGCTGGGGAGCCCACCAGCAGTCCGAGATGCAGGGGAGGGGAAACTTGGCCTATCCATCTACCCTTCCCGCTGGTCTCCAGGATGCTCTGGCGGTCTCAGCTTCCAGTTCTCCTCCGCAACCTCCTCCTCTGGAGTCTCCCATGGTTTCAGGTACCCCTCCTTCCAACCCTCGTCCACTGTATGCTCGTCTTCTTGCTTCTTTCTTCTAATTTCTGCTAGAATCTGTCTTTTCTGCAGAGACACTCTGTCTGACGGTGTTTCTCGTCCACCATCTTGATTCCAAAACCTTAAAAACCAGGAGTGATAGAGTTTTAAGTTTAGATGCCCAAGAGAGAACAAGCACAAGGAATGGTGACTACAGCATTGTTTAGCCCATGGATGGCCTACGTTAAACCTCAGTAACAAGCATTTATAGCTCTCACATGGTCTGTCTTTCCTGGAGCAGCAGTAAGGAAAGTATCAGGACATATTTTTCTTATATTTTTGGGAGAAAGACCCATATGCAAAATAGAATGTGTAGAAACCAGAAACAGGTAAAATTACTTTTAAGAATATATTTTGTTGAATGCAATATATTCAAAGCGTTATCATATCAACATGTAATCAATATAAAAATTATTTGAGAAATTTTACATTCTTTTTTGAACTAAATCTTTGAAATCTCATATGTGTATTATACTTAAAGTACATTTCAGTTTGCACTAGTCACATTTCAAGCGCTCATAGTCAAATTTGGCCAGAGGATTCTACATTATATTGGACAGCACAAGGTTAGAGAGTTTTGAGGGTACAAGTAGCTATAGGACTATTAGACAAAGGGGATGGCACTAATCCAAACAAGATGGCCATATTTGTGACAGCTGTGACATGGAATTTAAGAATACAGAAACCCAGATCTGACCTTCCCCTTGCTAGCCTGCTGATTCTGGCACTTTTTAGCTGTGCGATCTTGAACAAGTCATTTACCTACACGTGACCATCAATTTATTTCTTCATAAAATGGAGAGGTAAACATTATATTATTTCCCAGAATTCAGCATTCTCAGATCACACTCCCTTTTATTGCCTAAATTATAATGGCACAGAATCCTATTTTTTTGTTTTTCTAACAGATTTATTGAGGTACAATTGATATACAAAGGACAGCACATATTTAATGTGTATAAATGCATGAGTTTGAACATATACCTGTGATACCACCACTACAGTCAATAGACATATCCATCGCTTCCCAAGATTTGTTTGTGTCCCTTTGTTTTTTGTTTTGCGGGGGACTTTTTGTTTGTTCTTCTGTTTGTGTGGCAAACACTTAACATGAGATTCATCCTCTTAACAAATGTTGTAGTGTATACAATAGTATATTGTTAACTACTATCTAAAACTTGTTTATCTAGCATAACTGAAACTTTATACCAATTAAACAACTCACCATTTTTCCCAGCCCTTAACCCCTGGCAACCACTACTCAATTCTCTGCTTCTGTGAGTTTGACTTTTGTAGATTTCCCATAGAAATGAGGTCATGCAGCATTTGTCTTTCTGTGCATGGTTTATTTCACTTATCACAATGGCCTCTAGGTTCACCCATGTTGTTGCAGATGGTAGGATTTTCTCCTTTTCTAAGGCTAAATGATTCCATTATATGTATATACCATATTTCCTTTATTCATTTATCTGTCAATGAACATTTGGATTGTTTCCACATCTTGGCTATTGTGAATAATGCTGCAATGAACATGCGAGTGCAGATATCTCTTTAAGATATTAATTTAACTTCCTTTGGCTATATACTCAGAAGTGGGATTGCTGAATCATATAGTAGAATAGTAGTTCTATTTTTAATTTGGGGGGAACCTCCATACTGTTTTCCATAGTGACTGCACCATTTTACAATTCCACCAACAGTGCACGTGGGTTTCAATTTCTCCACATCCTCTCCAATGCTTGTTATCTTTGAGTTGTTTTTTTTTTTTTTTAAATAAAAGCCACCCTAATATGTGGGAGGTGATATTTCACTATAGTTTTGATTTGGATCTCTCTGATAATTAATACATTGGGGAGATCAGGGTTGGGATCGAGGTGTCCGACTGGACACAGGTAGTATGTGGCTCCTCCACGGAGAGGAACGACAGTAGTAAGCAGATTCTCACATTTATGTGTCTTGTGTAAGACAGCTGGAATAATGCCTGGACCACAGTTGTACTAAACAAAGATAGTTCCTTCACTTTCCATGTCATAAATCAGACTAGCCCT